ACCAAGAAGGATAGCTATCCCCTGCCGAGGATAGATGATACTCTAGACACGCTGGCGGGATCGACTATATTCTCTACTGTTACGTTTTTCGTCGGTTCCGTGTGGATAGAAAGTCACAATTTATTTAAACACTTTATTTAACACTAATTAACAAAAACAATAACGATAAAAGACTTATAGAACTATTTACAAAGATTTATAACTAAGAATTTATTTTGAATGTTAGCGCGTCAACTGCACTGGTATATTTATAACTGCCCTCTCTAGGCCACAGCCGCCGGCTTTTATACCTACAGCAAAAGAAATCTAGAATAGTCCATAGATCGTTAGGTGCATAGAGAAGGGTTTCGAATGTTCTCGTATGTACTAGTTCATTCCAGTGGGACTCGATTCTTCTCGAACGAATGAATCATTACGGTGTCTATTCTTTAATGCGATGTTTAGGTCATCTGAGGGCGGGACATATAGTTAGGTTAGGTCGAGTCCACACGGGTCCGCAACACTACCTTAGATCTGAAGAGTGGATATTGGCAAGTCGACATGGCGCCGAAAGATAGAGAGAAGACAGCGTTCTCGGTGGGCTCCGGACTGTGGCAATTTACCGCCATGCCTTTTGGTTTGTGCAAACCTTCGCCAGCTACCTTCGAAAGACTAATGGAGTCTGTGTTAAAGGGACTATCCTGGACTAACTGTTTAGTGTACCTGGATGACATCATAGTGGTTGGGAAATCCTTTGACGATCATCTGAATAATTTGGAAGAAGTTTTCAAGCGACTAGCGAGCTTTGGCTTGAAACTTAGCCCTAAGAAATGTCATCTGTGTCAAGAAAAGGTACACTAGTTGGGCCATGTAGTCTCCTCCCAGGGAGTTGCGGTAGATCCACAGAAGACCAAGACAGTGGAAGAGTGGCCAATATAAAGACAAACATGAACTACGAAGCTTTTTGGGACTATGCACATACTATCGCCGTTATGTACAAGGTTTCGCCACCATCGCAATACCATTGACCAGACTTACCGAAGGCGAAAGGCGTTTCTCTTGGGACTCAGATTCTGACGAGGCATTCCGAAGATTGAAGAAGGCCCTGACTAGTGCGCCCATACTTAGCTATCCTCTTGGCAACGGAAACTTTATATTGGATACCGACGCTAGCAATGTTGGGTTAGGCGCTGTTCTGTCTCAATCCAGGATGGTCAAGAAAAAGTAATTAGTTATTTTAGTAAGACCTTGTCGAAACCGGAAAGGAACTACTGTGTAACCAGACGAGAATTACTAGCGGTAGTTAAAGCAGTGGAACACTTAACACTACAAGTATCTCTATGGAAGAAAGTTCTTGTTAAGAACAGACCATGCTGCTTTGAAATGGCTGTTGCAGTTTAAGAATCCTGAAGGGCAGGTAGCTAGATGGATTGAACGATTACAAGAATTTGATTTCGACACAGAACATCGAGCTGGGGCTATCAATCAAAATGCCGACGCACTTTCCAGAAGACCTTGCGATAAGGACTGTAAGCATTGTTCCCGAGCAGAAGAGAAAGAAGCGAAACTCCTAAGAACAACTGTGGTTAACGATACTTGGCAACCCGAAGATCTTGCAAACGACCAAACAGTGACCCAGAATTAGGCTTAGTGATTAACTGGAAAAACGCGGACCAAAGACCAACGTGGGAGGAAGTTTGCAGATATTCGCCGAACGTGAAGTCGTACTGGGCCCAGTGGAATTCCTTGGTAATAGATGACGGGTTACTTCGCCGTGTAATCGCGAGACCAGAGGGACAAGAAGAAAGAAGACAGATCGTCATTCCGAAGAAGAGGATCCCGGAAGTCTTGGAGGAAGTTCACAATGGAACCAGCGGTGGACATCTTGGTGTTACCAAGATACTTGGCAAGCTGCGTGAACGGTTCTATTGGGTGAACTGCAAAGAAGATGTGAGGGCCTGGTGCAAGAAATGTGACGTTTGCACCGCCATCAATGGGCCACAAAACCGCGGTAAAGCTCCAATGCTCTAGTACAATGTAGGCAGTCCTTTCGAACGAATAGCGATCGACGTGGCTGGTCCTTTTCCGGAAACGAACGATGGCAACAAATACATTGTGGTAGTAATGGATTACTTCAGCAAATGGGTCGAGGCCTACGCGTTGCCAAATCAAGAAGCGGCCACCATTGCTGATGCCCTTGTTAAGGAATGGATCTGCAGGTTTGGTGTTCCCATGGAGCTGCATTCAGATCAGGGAAGAAACTTTGAGTCCAATCTGTTCCAAGGCGTCTGTGAAGTCCTTAATATCCGCAAGACCAGGACGACGGCTCTACATCCACAATCCGATGGGATGGTTGAACGCATGAACAGAACCATCAACCGTTATTTGGCCAAAGTAGTCTCTGACCACCAAAGAGACTGGGACAAATTTCTTCACCTGTTCCTGTTGGCCTATCGTTCATCCGTCCAAGAATCCACAGGGCAAACTCCAGCCAGCACCGTTATGGGATGGGAAGTGCGCCTACCTTGTGACCTGAAGTTTGGTTGCCGACCGGGAGAAGATGTCGCCGGAGAAGATTATGTCCATAGACTACGCCAAAGGATGGACGACATCCATCAGCGAGTCCGCCTAAATATTCAAAGCGCTAGTGACCGAATGAAGGAGCACTACGACATTCAAGCTGAACATGGAGGGTACCAACCAGGGAATTTGGTGTGGCTGTACAACCCGCAGAGACGTCGTGGATTATCTCCGAAGCTACAATCCTCGTGGGAAGGCCCATACGAAGTCATGGATAGGATTAATGACGTCGTATACCGTATCAGAAAATTGCCAAAAGGAAAACCGAGGATAGTTCATTTCAACCGTTTGAGCCCCTACCAAGGCGAAATAGAAGATCGTGCTGGGACCGTGAGAATCTGCAGCTTTGATCCCCCTGATTCGGAAATATCCTTTGACGATTCATGGCCCGATACAACAGCAGTGAGAAGGCTCGCTATGGTGTAACCAAAGAAGAACAACGAGACCTATTTTCCGTGAATCCTGATTATTCGCTCGCTCCCTGTGTGGCCCGAGATTTGCGGATGTCCAGAGGAATCGCTGCGACGTTCAATGAGAAGTTTGGGCGTGTCGGAGAACTACGCCGACAGGATCCAGAGGTTGGAAGCGTCTTGAGGCTAACCGATAATGCACATGGTCAAGCAAGACACATCTTCTGCCTGGTCATCAAGGAATGGTCCCCGAGTAAGCCGACATATCTCAATCTTTGGAAGACCCTTATTGAACTGAGAGAAGCCCTGCTAAACAACAACATTACACGATTAGCCATTCCGTAGCTGGCGTGTGGACTCGATGGTTTGAGTTGGCGTACAATCCGGAACATGATTGAAGTTTTGTTTAGATTTACGGGAATCGAGATCCTCGTTTGCTGCTATAACCCAAAGCTGAGATCGGGCGAGAAAACTGTAGACTGCTTTTTCTACCAGACTTCTCAATGTACCAGGGGCCAGCTTTGCAAATACCTTCATTCACCGTGTACATCTCGGGACGAGCATGTACCTAAGAAGGGGGCAGTGTTGCAGACCCGTGCCGCGTGAACTCAGCCTTAGGCCTGGCCACTCGCCTATGACTCAAACGCCCAGCGATGCCGACGTTCTAAGAACGAATAAGAATTGACTAGACAAATCTGGATTGTCTGTTTCTCTCCTATATAAGCAGACGCCGGGGCCTAAGGAAGATAGAGATAAATAACCGATCGACGCGTAGAGTTATAATCGCCGCGCTAATTCAAAATAAATTTCTGTTAGATAAATAATTAGATAAATTGTAAATAAGTTATAAATAGTTCTTTAAAGTCTTTTTATCGTTATTGTTTTTGTTAATTAGTGTTAAATAAATAGTGTTTAAATAAATTGTGACTTTCTATCCACACGGAACCGACGAAAAACGTAACAATATTTTGTATTTACATCCAAAAGCAATGGAGGTAGGCAGTAAAGGTAAATAAATTTCATTATCTAAATAGAATGGCTTTTTAGGACCATTTAAACTTATCATGCAGCCATTGTTTCTTAAAGTCAGGAACATTTAAAGAAAACAGGAACAACAAGACAACAAGTAATCGTGAATGTTTTGTAAGCTATAAAAATATAAATATTGATTAGATTTGTTTATTTATTATTGATCTATTTTAATATTGGACCTGCAAATCTTCACTTGAGCTGTCTAATGAGCTTAACAGTTTATTAATAAAGTACTTTTTAATATTAAACTCCATTGAAAAGAAGAAACAAAAGTAAAAGCAGAGAACAGGTACATTAAAAATCCATAAAAGATAAATTTTATAATAGAGGTATTGAAATTTAGAAAACGTCAATATTTGACGTTTCCAGTATTTTACCAAACCATTCCATATCAAACCGGTGTTTTTCAGAAACCGCTCTTTACCGTAGTTTACTGCTCTGGTTCGCCTGGTTTTGCAACGGAATACAGCCTAAATGTCACAATGCAAATAAGGTTATGAATTCTATGATTTTATGACATGATAGAAAATATATTGGTCATTTAATTTTTATTCTTAAATAACTTAAGGAACATTTACCATTACTTTTAAGAAATATATTCAACAATTAAGCAGTTAATACAAATTTGTTTTACAAAATATTTGGGGTTTTAATATCAGAACAATATCATAGAATAAACTTGGCAATCTTATAATCTTCTTACAGTTATATTAAATTGTGTCCCTTTAACTCGGAGTTTTTTCTGTCTTTGTCTAATTTACTTGCTTTGTCTGACTGTCTCCTTTTTATATTCTGTACTCTGTGTGATAATTTCGATAACTCAAATTAGGCAATTTCTTTTCCATTTGTTGGATCCAACTGTGACTACATACAAAAAAGAACAGTAAAAACAATTATTTAAAATGACAGACAGCTGTCACTATTATATTCTTTTTTGCTGGACGGACTACATATTTTGAATGTAGAAAAATATTAACACAATATCTTCTTTTTTTTCAGATTTAGTTGAACCTCTCACTGTCAATTCTCCCATGTCTGAAGTCGTTCAGGCTATGCAGAGGCCTGACAGCGGGTTGGAAATTCGCGATCGGATGTGGTTAAAAATCACAATACCCAACGCTTTTATTGGCACCGATATGATCGATTGGCTGATGACGCACGTCGAAGGGTTTCCAGATCGAAGAGACGCTAGAAAATACGCTTCGCATCTATTGAAAGCCGGCTTTATTAGACATACCGTAAACAAGATTACTTTCTCTGAACAGGTAGGAGAGTATTTTTGTTTAATTTGATATTTTTATACTACAATTTATTATGTTTGACATTTAAAAATTAAATAAATAAAAATACTAAAAGAAAAAAAAACAAAATACTCAGAAGTCATGGTTCTGACCAAAGACATCTAAATGGGTAGACAGAACTAGTGATGTGTCGGTATTTGAGTAACGCGATTTTGGAGCGGTATTTTTTTGTAACGCCGTGTCGCGCTCCACAACGGATGGGGAACATGTTACTGAAGAACGACGATCATAATGACGACAAAATTATAAATTATTTATAATTTGCAAATAAATTATTTATAATCGCTCTTGAAGTTAGCTTGAACCGTAGTAACCGCATAGCGACGTGTTTAGCTCCAGCCGTCGCGATTTCGTCGGTCGCCTACAATAGTTACTGGAACTGTACGTAGCGTCGGGCGATCTCGATGGCGACGTGTTCGCTCCAGCCGTCGCGCTCCTAGAGTTTTAGTTCCCTGTCGCGAACAGAAGTAACTGCTGTAACTGGCTATCGACGCTCGACCTCGGAGGCGGCTTACTTCGTTCCAGCAGTCGCTGGAGCGCTTCTAGGGTTTCGTTTTCGCCTGTAGTGATTGGGTCGGTTACTATTGGCGTTGGTGCTCCCGTCGTTACGTTACTTTTGAAATAGCGATTTTTGGTATGTACTAAGCATGGTATAAAATGGAGTAACCAAACCAAACCAAACCGCATAGCGACGTGTTTAGCTCCAGCCGTCGCGATTTCGTCGGTCGCCTACAATAGTTACTGGAACTGTACGTAGCGTCGGGCGATCTCGATGGCGACGTGTTCGCTCCAGCCGTCGCGCTCCTAGAGTTTTAGTTCCCTGTCGCGAACAGAAGTAACTGCTGTAACTGGCTATCGACGCTCGACCTCGGAGGCGGCTTACTTCGTTCCAGCAGTCGCTGGAGCGCTTCTAGGGTTTCGTTTTCGCCTGTAGCGATTGGGTCGGTTACTATTGGCGTTGGTGCTCCCGTCGTTACGTTACTTTTGAAATAGCGATTTTTGGTATATACTAAGCATGGTATAAAATAACGTTGTTTGAAAGATGAAACGTACAAGCAAATAAAATAAAATGAAAATTTGATTTGCTTTTATACATTTATATAAGTTTTATTGTTCATATCTATTTTTAAGGTCTGATGATGGCTGGAATTGCGGAAACCGGTCACCAATAAAGATTTTTTTTTGACAGTGGTTTGTGGGAGTAGGTAGTTAGTATAAAATAAAAGTAGGTACCAATGCCAGAAATACTACATAAGCGAGGACCGCGACACTTAGGAAGTCGGAACCTCGATTACAAATTCGCGGTATTTTGTCGCAGTATTTTTCTGGAACGGTCGCTATTGTAACGCGACTCGTGTGGAACCGGTATTCCCATCACTAGACAGAACACTCCATTCATAAAACTCAATTTTTTAGAATCATACATGGTTTGACACTTTTACGAGAGTTAAAAAGAGATGGGTACATAAATATGACAACACGATTGAGTTTTGTCTATCTTTCTGTCATTTGGCTCTATCAGTGGTGTGACAGTGGCGTGTTGTTTTTTTTATCAAAAATTGTTGAATTTTATCAAAAATTGATTAGGAATGCCTCGGACCAATTTTCTATTATAACTAGTTTTGCCTGAGGTCTAACTGAGGGTAACCATAGACTTAGAATAAAATATAGACTGAGCATCTCATTCATAAATAGCTGGAAGATGCGGACAGACAACGTCTTGTTATTGTTGTGTTATTGTTTTTGGCTCTAACGAGTGCGACACGAGCGATAGATAGGCTGTCTCCGTCGTAACGGTCGTTTCCTGACGGCTCTGCCGCCCAACGCAACACTGTCTTTTGTTTCTTCAGTACACCTGCACTCTCCGTATCATAGGCGGGTATTTTTTTTATTTTAATGAAGCTATAATTCAATTAAAAATATATCGTATTTAAACTTTTTTATATTATTAAGATTTAGGATAAAGAAAATAGTTTAATATAAAGCAAAGTTTAGGACTTAGAAAAAAAATACGTCTTAGAGTCTAAAAACGATAAAAATAATAAAGTACGTGTTATAGAAGAAATTTTAATAATCGAAATTATTTAATTTTTGAAATTGATGATAAATTATTAATTTAATAAAATATTAATTTTAGTCAAACATTTACAACTCTAATATTAATCAAAACAGGATCTATTCTATAGATATAATAGAACAGAAAGAGAAAAAACTTTATAATTGTTTAATTTTTTTTTCCGGTAAAAGTGATGTCTTATTATGTAAATTAGAAAAAACAGGAATCTGTTCCATTAAAGCAAGCTTTTAGGAAGTGAATAAAATGAAAACTACATTTATTTAACTCGTTACTGTCTTTATTATAGAGTAAGTATAATAATGGTAATGGTGACTATACTTTATTCAATGGAAATATGCACCAAATTCAAACAAATATAAAAGGCATGAGTATAAACAGTATTACTACAGTAATATTGAACATTGGTTCAAAAATATTACATTAATATAATACAATATTACTGTAGGTATTACTGTCAACGTGCAAGCTTGTTTGAAGCTTGATGTATTTGTATGCGCTTGGTACATCTTGGCGTTGGAAAATGTATAGAAAATTATTAAGAAAAACTAGTACGTAATGGGGGATATCTTGATATACAGAGTGGTCGGAATTGTATTCAGGAAACTTTGGCAGCATAATCTGCAAATAAAATCAGTAAAAAAAATAGTATAAATTTATGTCCTAAAATGCTTCGTTTCAGAGATACAGAGTGTAGAAATTTCATTTTTATTTCGCTTTTTTCCAAATAATTTATGAAGAATGTATTGATTAATTCGTTTCCAAATATCTTGAGAACTATACTTGTGGCGAGTGTCAACAAGAGACCTTATTAAGTAAAAAACGTTGGAAATGTAAATTTTTCTCAGTAGTTTTATATAGATACAGACAAAAAGTATTACTCTTCAAATAACTTAAAAAATATGTAGGTGGCGCCCCCTATTAGTAAAAGTCAAATTGACATCTAAATCTAATTTTTCATGTCAAAAAACTCCCAAACGCCAATTTTCGTCCAAATATTGACGTCACTTCAGAAATTATTTGGAAAAAAATCGAAATAAAAATGAAACTTCTACACCCTGTATCTCCGAAACGAAGCATTTTAAAAACTTACAAGTTCATTTTTTTAGAAAGCCAATGCAACATTTCTGAGTTTCAAATAAAGATAAAAAACAGTAAAACATATAATAATAATATGTAAATTATTTTCTTGGATACATACATATATGGCAAATAATAACAGATTGTTTTATTAAAGATTTACGTTTTGGTTAATTCTAAAACTATCTTCAGATTATATGTGATATTACTTAAGTGATATTACATTATAAAAGAAAAAATGAAAATTATACCTTATAATCGAAAAAAAACGGCGTCAGCGATGGCTATGAAATGAAGATCGCTGTCATTTTATATGTAAAATTATATGGAGTATGTATCGATGGTTTTTTCCAAGCCAACTGGACGCCGTTTTTTTCGATCATACGGTATTACAAATTAATAATAGATTAACAGTCGAGAAAAAAAAAGAAAAAACTCTAGGTAAGTACTGGATAAATTTTAAAATGGCATATTTATTTTATCTTTGTTTAATATAAAAAAAACGAAATATCTACCTGGTTTACATAACCCTGTATAATTTGTGAAATAATAATGGACAAAAATGCAAGCGGTAAGAAAAATATTTACAAAAAATATGTACTTGTTTACATTTCTGGACCATTGTTCGTCATTTTTGTTATCATAATGGTGACCCTATCATAAAAACGTAGTTATTTCTATACCTGATGTGAAACTATAGGGAAAAAGTAATGTTTGTAAAATATTTTAGTCTTGAAAAAAAATAAGGAATGTTTGGTATTTTAAAATGTTTGGTAGCTTGTAATTTTTTCGACTTTCTCGATTGTTTATAGTTTATAATAAGCCTTAAAAATTGTTGTTTCATAATGGAATATCATTCTGGAATTCCTGTATGTTATTTTAGATTCTAAGGATGGTTTTAGAATAAAAAGAAACACATTTTTCATAAAAAAAAGCATTAAATTAACCAATGCCCAAGAAAATAATGTGTCTACTTCTTATGTACTTAATAATGTATCTACTCGTTATATTAATAACGAGGTTAGTAAGAACCTTTACGTAAATGATAAATATAAAAAATACAGATTTTCCAGGGTTTATAATTTACTAAATTATTATCTAAATAAGCGCCTTTCTACAACGCCACTGACGCCAAAATAGTAAATTTGACTTACCTGTGGAATGTTGTTCCAGGACTTAAATAGTCCAATTTCTTACAAATTTGGCACTGACGAACCTGTTTTATAGTTTTTAAATAAAAAGTAATCAAAATAAACACTAAACCGACACTACACACTAAGAAAATCGAATCCAAAAAAATACAAAATCAAAACATCCAATAAAAACAATAAAATAGCCATGGAGAAACTGTGACAACAAGGTTTTACGACACGTGCTTTACTCTACTATGGCTCTACTACGAGAGAATAAAGAATGAACAGGGCGACCCGGCGATTGATGGGTGTTGCCAAATTGTAAAGAATTTGTCATTTTAAATAGTCTCCGACTTATAATTTAGTAGTATAGGGACTATTTAATACATCTTTCTACTATTAAACACTACTTTATTAAAATACAGTTTTAATATCTCAATATATGTGTATAACAACAAAAAAAATATTAATAATATTTTAGACGTGACAACATAGGCTGGAGGCGAAAGACTCAGACGGCCGAGGTCAGCTGCACCCAGGAGTAAACCTGTTTACAAAAATTAATATTTGACCGCGCTTAAATGTAAATAGTGTAGTCTATATTTTATTCTAAGTCTATGAGGGTAACTCTAATTTCACAATCGAAAGCGCCAGCAAATAAGAAAATATACGTATTTTTGTAATAATCTACCTATAACTAAAAGTATCTATATAAATACGCTACTATAAGAACTTTCAACTACCGCAGCAACCAAACCAAATCAAAAACTCACAACCGCGCGCTGTCAAATATAAGTTGAATGAAAACAAATGAAAATGTCAAATGTCAGCGTAATTCCTACAGATTTCGACAATTTCGTATTAAAGATGAATCCACAGCGATACTGCTAGTTGTCATTGTAATTTCCCTAATATAATTTAATTAGAAAACTAAAAATAATTTCAAAGGTATAATCCTGGCAAAATTTCTGTATATTAATTAAAGTTATATACCCCTACAAATATTTAGTTTAACGTTTCTATAGGTACCCAAAAAACATTAATAACAATAATAGCATTTGGAACTCGAACCGTATTCTATCACATACCGCGTAAATCTGTCGTCATCGATTTTTGCGGAACACGGTTCGTGATCGCGATAAAATGTAAATTGTTTTGCGTCCCTTTATTTAGATGTCTTTGGTTCTGACCGTAAAATTATATTTTAGGAAAATTTACACACGAAATTATTGCAAGGGGTGTTTTAAAGTTAGGTTAAAAAAACAACCCCTCGATTAACCCTGTATAATATGCCAAATACTAAACTTTATAAAAAACTTAGTTTACGAATTAAAGTTGATATAATTATATACAGTTTGCTAAAAAACTCATGAGAATAGGGCTAAAAGTAACAAAAATATAACACTTTAAATTTGACTTAAAATTTCTCCTTTGCGTTGTTTTTTGCATCTGAGTGTATTACAAGACGGGACTTGGTAAGATTAATACTAATACTATACTTTTTTTAAATAGTGTTACTATATCTTTGGAGATCTGTGTTCGGCAATGAGCAATTTAAAACTTCAGGGGGATACCGATAGTGTAGGACCATTGCCGAATGTTCCAAATTACATGCCATACAGTGGAACGTACAATCCTTTGGAATACATGCCAATGCCATTTTATAGCGAAAATACAGTTTATGGTTATAATAAGGAGGAAAGTGTACTCAGTGGGAGCGGTAAGTTCATTTATTTATTATTAACATCTAATAAGCTGAATTATCGTCATTCTTGAATTTTCCTAAGTATTTTGTAATTTATCTCTGCGATGTTCTAGATTGTTAGGACAATGTTAACACTGTAAATTGATATATTTTTCTTTAGATATTAATGTAGATATTTATTAAATTTATTTTGCATAGAGTAAATTTACATCGTAACTATGAACGACTCATAGTATAAATATTGTTTTTATGTGGTTCAGCGGAATATTGTAAAGTTCAGCCATTAATACAAGGTTACAAAGTGGGCGTGGTATATGTGCGTGGTGTATCAATTTTAGTGCGGTAAACCATACTCATAATTATGTTTGCTGTCAAAGTTGAGTTTGCTTTGTTGTTTATAGTCTGTGATAAGCTTCATTCCGAACCTCGCAATTAGTAGAATAAATTAGTGGTTTCAGTTAGTGTAGAAGTTTGTTCCTCTAATTTCAATGTAAGCATTCAGAACGTCAAAATTAGTTGTAGTCATTTTCAATTAGTAGAAAAGCTTCATTCAGAATCTCGCAATTAGTGGAATAAATTAGTGGTTTCAATTAGCGTAGAAATTTGTTGCTTTAATTTTAATGTCAGCATTCAGAACGTCAAAATTAGTGGTAGTCATTTTCAATTAGTAAAAAAGTTTTGACTTTTCCACTAATTATACTTCAAAATTTGCGAGGAATGTTATTTTGACCTTTGATTATCATTCGTCAAGAAAAATTGTGGTTAGAAATCAAAAGTTTATTGTTTTCTAAGCTAAATATTTGGCTTTCTCTATGGTTGCAACTGACTGCCGCAAGCTGTTGCTAGGATATTCTATTAATTTTAATTGTGTATTTTAGACATTGTGAATGATTGTAAACTAAAAGCTATAAAGTGTAATTGAAACCACTATTATGCTTATTCCACTAATTGCGAGGTCCCGAATGAAGCTTTAATATAAACTTTTTTAGCGAAGGGCTTTTTTTAATACTATTTTGAAAAATTTAAATGTTTATGTCTACAAAAATGCGTGGAAAAAATAGGTTTTATTTTTTTTAAATAATTTATTATTGACTAGGGTTTCAGTTTACAGCTATATTGAACTTATTTTTTTATTCAGAGGTCTAATTGTACTAAACATTTATGTACAAAAACTATCACAGAATTACCTAACTGTATAGAAGCAATTTTTCTAGATTAACCTTTAAGTAGGTTTGCCATATTTTAGGCTATACTTTTAATGACGCTGGTTGTCAAATTTTGATTAGTTAGTAGATAGTTAATATCGGGATGAATTATAACACTGTTTTCGGTTAATGACTACTCTAAAAATTGCACCAAACTGCAACCAAAAAGTAAAGAAGCGACAAAGCAATGAGATTTTTGAATGTCCGGAGTGCGGTAGGCAGATAACATCCCGTATCGGGCTTTTCAGTCACAGAAAAGCTCAGACTTGCGTGACCATCTTCTAATGCGTGTCAAATACTCGTCAGCGCGTAATGGCAGTATATATGTATGTATTCTAAAAATTTAATTTTGTTTATTGATATTTTTTTTATTTTGGGTACAAATCAGAATAATTGAAAGCATGGATTAGAAGGAAGAGAAATGCCATTTTATGTTTTTATTTTTTTACACAGCTTAATTAAATTTCACATCAAAACGTAATTCAAAAGATTGTTAAATACCCATCCCTGATTAATACTTATCTTTTTAATCACTTATACGTTTTTTGGAACTCGTATCTATTAAATTTAGAAAAATAAAACTTAAACGTCACAATAAAATAACAGCTATATAAAAAGTATTCTTTCTCGATATATTAACAAATTTCATTCAATAAAATTTTAGGTATTTTTTCCAGTTTACAAGTGACTTTGTCAAAATATGTGACTATGATATGTGATTTTAATACATTTGGGACACTTACTTCACAGAAGCCGACGCTTACTGTCGCTTCTGTATACCTAATATATTCTGTAGTACTCGAGAAATTCATAGTAGGCATATCAGCCAGGAGACCCTGTATACTTTCACTTAAACTTACATAAATACGGGGTTTTTTATGTATGGAAAAGTTCGATTATTAGGTAAAATATAGGAGGTACCGCAAAAAGTTGAATACAAAAGTTATATAGGATTTTTAAATACCTATTAGTGAGTAATAAATTTAAGTATACAGGGTTGTTCATAAAGTCGTGGCACATCAAAGTTTTTTTTTAAATATATTATTACATGTTTCAATTCCTCCTTCAATTCTAAGCAAAAATCGAAATACACACAATGTATCTCAAAGCAACCGTTTCCGAGTTATTGACTTTTGAAAATATCACTTAAACAATTTGATTTAACGAATTTCGATGTGTTTGGTTTGATTTAATGATGATAAAAATGATGCCGAAACTGTGATACTGTTGTAATGGGTTTTTAAATTTCTATTAGCTACTAGTAAATTTAAGTATACAGGGTCGGTCATAAATGAAACCCTCTGTATATTATTGCATATTTCGATTCTTCCTTCAATTTTAAACAATAATCGTAATACACAATGAACATAAATTGAAAAATGGAAATGTTAAACGAAAATTTTGTAATTTCCAGACTTGCTATACTCTCATTTTATAATTTATAAATGCTAACTTGAGAACTAATGTCAAATATTATTAAGTATCACTGTTTCAGCAAAATGGCATCGTTAAATGAAACTGAACATATCGAAATTAATTAAATCAAATTGTTTAAGTGATATATTCAAAAGTCAATAACTCGGAAATGGTTGGTATGAGGTACATTGTGTGTATTTCGATTTTTGCTTATAATTGAAGGAAGAACCGAAATATACAATAATATACAGAGGGTTCCATTTAAAAAAATGAAACTTTGATGTGCCACGACTTTATGACCGACCCTGTATACTTAAATTTATTACTCGCTAATAGATATTAGAATGTTTAGGAGGGGAGTTAGCCACCGCGACCTTACAGATCTATTGTGTTAATACATATTTATTAACCCTATAACTTTTATATTTAACTTTTTGCGGTACATCCTATATTTTACTTAATGATCGACCGTTTCTATACATAAAAGCGACCCTGTATATTTATGACTGTACTTAAACTGCCGTTAAACGGTAGCTTACTAAAATGCCGTTAATAGGTATGACGTCGTTGATGTGACGCACTTGACGGCTTTATGAAATATAGGAATTTTATAAGGACTAACTAACGCTATCCACCCCACCAAATAACTAACTTAACCAACGCAACTAACCTCGACACTGATAAAAAAATATAAAAAACAAATATAAATTAGTAAAAACCAACCAACCCCACCAAATAACCAACTAACCAATGAATTAACACCCTCCAAATAACCACGCTAACCAACCCGCCAAATAACTAAACCAATCCAACTAAAAAGAGTGAAACCAATGCAATAAGATCACGCTATAAGCAAAAAAAAATATAAAAAAGTATTGGTCGGTGTGAGATTTGAACCACGGACCATTCGTTCACGAAGCGATAGCCTCAGCCATGGAGCCACAGGTGCTCTTGCAAAATGCTTATAGTTAGGCATTACTTTCAGCCGACATGAACGACGTCACAATATCTATTGAGGGCATTTTAGTAGGCTACCGTTTAACGGCTGTTTAAGTACATCGTATTTATATTAGTACATACATTTACTTCAAACAGTTTCATTGCAAACAGCATTCCTACAATGTAAATTTACTTTACGCAGTTGTCGTTTTAATTTTGTATATAAGGTAATTACTTGAATAAAAAAAATTAAAAGATACGTAAATAAATGTACTTAAAATGTAAAACGTAGACAAATTAGGTATGTAGTACAAAGTACAAATCCCATATCAGAATAGGTAACTCTGTTTGTTTCAGATGTTCTTCTTATAGAATCTTCATAACCCAAGGTTAGGGAAAAATTACTGAAATCAACAAAATCGTATTGATTTTTTTGCAAAGTAGAAAACTTATTGACCAGACAATAAGACAGTACTGTAGGAGAGACTTTATACTATACTTGTGTACCTGTATAGTTACTAACATTACTAACTATTTGATTTTTTGAAGACTATTCATTAATATAAAGACTGGCTTTTGTTCCTATCACAATTCTGAGCTTGTATTGTTTCCTTTTTTTCTTTTAAGTTCTAATATTTTACAGAAGCAATTTATATGTTTAAATTATAATTTAGAATTTTATTTTTGTAAAAGTTTTTTTAATACTCATTTAATTTAAATTACTGTGCTAACCTTATATTTTTTTTATTTTTACTGTATTAAATATCTGGCAAATACTTTGAGAAGTAAACATAGAGATGCCCTTGACTTAAATTTATGAGAAAAATTAAAACATTACTACATTAAATAGCGATGAAAGAACAAAATCCGATGTTTTACTATAGCTTTGTTCCAACGCAGAAATTAGAACGGTTATTTGTATTGCCGGGATCGAATTTGTGCGCATGTGACGACTTGGATACTTCTGTTACGATACCAAAATTAAATGCTGTTGGAACGGTTTGTGAACCGATTTTAGAATTCGCCCTGGCAGCCGTGGCTTTATATAGTCTAAGAGCTAGCAACGTTTTTGAGAAAGTATTTTAAGACGTCTGGCTCTTTGATATATCTTTTACTATACTCTCTGGAACAGCATGCGGCCCGTCTGGCTGCCGATACCCGTTGCGTTCACTACTGCGCATCGGAAGAAGATCCTATATTTTTTATTAATTTAATTCTGTAAATTCTAGTATTGAATATAAATCGAACATGTCTCCATAGCGCAGTGCGTAGAGTTTCCGACCACGAACCGATAATGCAGAGTTCGAATCTGGGTCAGGGCAAAGACTTTTTTATTTTATTTTCGTTTATATTCTGATAGTAAAGTATTGAAGCCCTGACCCGGATTCGAACTCTGAATCATCGGTTCGTGGTCGGAAACTCTACGCACTGCGCTATGGAGACACGTCCGATTTATATTCAATACTAGAATTTAAAGGACTAATAAAAATATAGGATCTTCTTTCAATGCGCAATAGGGAACGCAACGTTTACAGGCAGCCAGACGGGCCGCATGCTGTTCTAGAGAGCATAGTAAAAGATATATCAAAGAGCCAGACGTCTTAAAATACTTGATTTTCCGACGTTGCTAGCTCTCGTACTTATTAAGCTTGATTTTCATGCATCCGTTATCCGACGATACGATGATACGATATTAATTTTATTGGTTGACTTTAAATTAATTTAGAACCCCTCTAGGTTTACTTATTTCTCTAAGGGCATGTGTTGATTTTGTTCTTAGTACAAAGATTTAAAATAAAGTGATTGATTTGACATGCTTTTTGCCAGATATTTTGCAACCGCCATGTTTATTTTTAAGTTTTAGTTTGTTTTGTATAAATAAATTTTATGCAATTTTAGAAAATTAGTTTTTGTTTTATTAATTTGTGAAGAATGCTATATTTGTTTTTTTTTTATTTAGTATTTTTTCTATTTTTTTTATGATTTAGTATTTGTATCTAAATATACCGGGTGCGTCTCAAAAGTGGCTCACCCCTATAACTTTTTTATTTTTTCAGATAAAAAACGAGATTTGGTATGTTAGTATGTGACATAAATTAGGATTGATTGATGTATTCAATTGTTTTCAGTCAGTTCCTGTTTCACTGGAAATAACGACAACTTTTGATTTTTAAATGGCACCCTCGGTATTTTGTTACTTTATTCGATAGAAACTGACACACTGAATAGAATGACATATCATATGTCAACTTTTGACATTTTCGAATATAGTTTATTTGAAATTGCAACATGCGATTCATAACGACAATTTGACTCGAAATACCAAGTGTGGTACCAAATTATTCGTAAAAAAATGCTTTTTCCAAATATGCTAATGAGCCGCCCTCGTTCCAATTGAAAAAATCGAGAAATAATTAAAAATACGATATGGGCATCTTTTAACCGGCCAGGACAAGACACTAAATACATCAGACGATCAAATTTGTTTTTCCAAGACTCCTTGATAAAAATTAGTGTTTTTAACACAGCCATGGCACTCTAGATTGTAAAATTGTTCAAAATACAATTTTGTTTTAAGCGAAAACGTCAAAAGTTTACATATGAGAGTCTTTGCTATCGAATAAAGTAAAAAATACCAAGTTGCCATTTAAAAATCAAAAGTTGTAGTAATTTCCGGTGAAACAGGAAGTGGCCGAAAAGAATTGAATACGTCAATCAATTCTAATTTATGTCATATACTAATATACCAAATCTCCTTTTTTTTATCTGCAAAAATAAAAAAGTAATAGGGGTGAGTCACTTTTGAGACGCATCTGGTATACAGACCTGGCTATCCTAAATTTGTAGTCTAGATGTTAAACAATACAATAATTATAGAGATACCTTAACACATTATTTATGTGTTGCTCATTAAAATACGGACCTTCAATTTAGAATGACCATGCCAGTATACAATATCTTTGTATTATACATTAAACATGTAAATAATACTTTCGTTAAATCTGTTATTAAATTATTATTTTTTACTTTGTTACAGTGGTCAATAATGATTATATTTCGTGTTTGTAGACCTAGATGTAAGGAATTTTCATACAATTTTTGATCCTTCATTTTATCCCCTAAAGTAAAGGGATGAAAATTTCTAGTGCTTAATAAAATGAAAGTTATAATTTCATTTTTCTAGGTTCATGACTCAAGGTTTTTTATATATATTTTTACGTTTTGCCTTCAAAAGGGATGATTTTTCAATTTTTTTGTTATTTTCACGCTAAGAACCCTTGTGCAATAATATTTTATATTTCTAGACCAGATACTAATGAAATTTCTTATATTACCGTAAAATTGTGGCGAAAGAACAAATTTTTCGTAGAAAAGGAATATGACCGTTTTTAAAGTGCTCGAAAAGACCTTTTAAATAATGCTTTTTTAAAAGGTCTTTTCAAATTCATAGCTCAAAAACTCGCGGAGTTATGATAAAAATAAAATGGTACACCCCATTTTTTCGGAAACAAAATTAATAACAAAATCTACGACAAAACCATATAAATAAAAACTATCAATTTGTAAGAAATTACACGAGCTACAAATTAACCTCTATAGTTGAACAGTCTTGAACTCCTCATTTTTACGAGATTTTTGGGTTTTAAGGGCTCAAAGAAGGTGGTGTTTACACGCAAGTCAAACTGAAAAAACGTAATATCTACGAAATAAAGAGATCTACAGCAAATTGAAAGAGAGCAAAAATATTGAAAAAAAATACCTTCAATTTTACTCTATTACATTTTTGACGTATCTTGCTTAGTTTTTGAGATTGCCAAAAAAATATAATTTCAACTTTTTTACAAATTTAGGCATTCTAAACTGCTCGAACTTGCAGAGCCCATTGTAAGTACCTAAATATAGCCAACTGTAGATGTATTACACTTACTCTTTATTTTTATGATTTTAGTCATAGATTTTGTTGTTAACTTTTTTAGGAAAAAATTAGGTGACCATTTTATTTTTATCATAACTCCTCGAGTTTTGGAGATAAGAACTTTTTTAAAAAAGAATTTAAAAGGTCTTTAGCACTTTAAAAAAGGTCTTATCCATTTTCTTCGAAAAATATGTTCTTTCACCATTATTTTACGGTAAAATGTTGCAATTTAGTTTTCGAAAAATAAAAAATCACCTTTACAGAGTGATAACTCGGCTATTATTACACCTACGGTAATCAGCAAAAAATGAATCGTTTAGTTATTCCAAAAGCTTTATTTTTGCTTTATGTTTTGCGATGAAACGCAAGGTTTTCGAGTTATTTATAAAAAGTGGCAAAAAATAGCGTTTTTAGATGAAAAATCAACATTTTCAATCCTAAATAACTAAGAAAATATTAATTTTCTGGAAAAATGTTATTGAACGTTTTTTGCTTAAATCATCCCTTTAATGATTTTTGCAATTAAAATGGGTGATTTATTTTTAACTCCCAAGAAGGGGTGGCACTCACCCCCTGGGTGAAAACATGCGTCAGTATTGTGTAACTTTTGTTTCTTACTTATATCTCTATTCACTGTTAAAATTTCATGTCAATCGGTGCAGGCGTTCAGAATTCGGACCCTAAAACCCTCGCTTACTGGCCTATATATCCGTTCTGGCAAGAAACTGATATATTCTCGAATACGAAATGTTCTTTCCTTTCTAGGTGGCAGTTCTAATGGTTCGGATCCATTGAAAGATAACGCCGGTCACAGTAGCGCTAGCGATTCGGACCTGACGTCACTCGGACCTCGTTCCGTTCCCCTGCACGGCGCCACTGGCAACGGGAATGGTAGCAGCAATGGGTCAGAGAGAAGTAGCGGCACCCAGCCCTGTCCGGGACAAGGAGGGAACAAAGATATTGCTGGTAGTAGACAGTCTTTTAAGATTGCTATGGGAAATCCTTGCGAAATGTTTGTCGATGTTATGTAGTTTTAAAAGCCAATCATTATTGTTGCATGTTGTATTGAAGCACAAAAAATTAAGCTTTATTATCGGGTAAAAAGTAAAAAGGACAATATACAGGGTGTGCCATAAAAATTATTTTATTTATATGTTATTGAAAAAGGTTTATAAAAAATGTCTATACCTATGTGGCGGACTCATCTCTCCAAAAAAATCCTATATGGGTATTTCGCCACTGCAAGAAAATCTACAAAATAAAATAGTTATTTTTTGTAAACACTTCTGCGTTAATCCCAAACGGAAACTACTTGTCACAAGTTAGGTTTACAGATATAGTAAACGCCACGAATGTTTGGGAGTGATTCATCGGTCGCTACCATGTGAACTAATCTGTTCAAGGTTACATAAAACTTAATTCCAGTGCCGTGGTATTTCAAGTCATATAATAATCAATATATAATCTGTTGTTTATGTTTTTGTGCATAAAATTTTAAATTTATTATTATTGATGAATATTACAAAAATATTTGTTAGTAACAAATTACTTAAAAAGGATTCCAGCAAACTGTCAAAGTCTTGTCAAAACATATATTTGGTTATAAATATAAACTGGAATGCCCCATTGATCGCACTGCAAACACACCAATGGACTGACGCACAAATGACGAATCAATCAAAGAAACGCCATATAGTATCGTCTTTGTCAATCACGCTAACATTTTAGAATAAGTAGGAGGAGCGCAGGCAGATGATTAGACCGGGCCTTTAAAACCTACGTCTGCGGTAAAAATTTACGTTTTTAATGTAAAAATGATAGCGCGCGTGTCGATTCTAACTTCATCAAGCGATGAATCACTCCCAAACATTCGTGGAGTTTAATTTATACAAATTTGCCTAACGAAGAAAAAAATGCTTAACGTTTGGGAAAGTTTATCTCTTTCCGTTGTCGGAAGCAAAAAAAATACAAAGAATAAAGAAAAAAACTATTGAAAATATTTAAATTCAACTATTCGAGAACACTTTTAGTTTTTTTTATACAGATACATCTACAAAAACCGTTGACGTTCTGTTAAAATGACATTATATCAAGTTAAACTTCAAAATTAACAATTACTACCTGATAACAATTACTTAATAAGGTAAAAGCAAAAAGCCCCAAACTTTCTGTATGATTATTTTTAATTTTTATCTATGTTATGTTCTTTAAAATCAAAGAAGCGATTGCCATACATTACTAACATCTACAGATGCATGAACAATACAGTTATTTTTATTAGATTGTATTAAAAAAGCCTCTTTTATTTTTGTTTTAGAGGCTATCGCTTCTTTCATTATAATTTTGGCGTTATTAAAATTTGTTCTGAGGCCTTTTTTCCCATGAATGCTGACAAATCTTAGATTTGTGAAAATCTCCCTTTCTTAAATAATCTTTATGTTCTTTAATTCGAACATTTAAGGATCTAGATGTTTGACCAATGTAAAATTTATCGCACTCACATGGTATTTGGTATATTCCATTTTTTTTTTGTTGTTCTGTATTCATTGGTTTAGTATGTGATAAAATGGATCTAAGTGTATTTTGTGTTTTGAAAGATGTTCGTATAATATTATTAAGTAATTGTTATCATGTAGTAATTGTTAATTTTGAAGTTTAACTTGATATAATGTCATTTTAGCAGAACGTCAACGGTTTTTGTAGACGTATCTGTTTTAAAAAACTAAAGTGTTCTCGAAAAGTTGAATTTAAATGTTTTAAATAGTTTTTTTTATTCTTTGTATTTTTTTTTTGCTTCCGACGACGGAAAGAGATAAACTTTCCGAAACGTTAAGCATTTTTTTGTTTGTTAGGCAAATTTGTATATTTGTAAACCTAACTTCTGACAAGTAGTTTCCGTTTGGGATTAACGCAGAAGTGTTTACAAAAAATAACTATTTTATTTTGTAGATTCTCCTGCAGTGGCGAAATACCCATATAGGATTTTTTGGAGAAAAGTAACAAAATATTGAAAGAATCAATGAGAATAGTCGTTCAGAATTTATTTTTTCTGCTATGTACTAAGGTCATAGACTTCAAATTAGGTCATAGGAACTTTCAAAAATAGTATATTGTTTTATTAGGAGTAAAAATCATATGTTTGACCGAGACACAAAAAGTCATTTTAACTCCGAATAGAACATGCTATTTTTTTTCAAACGCCACCAAATAAGTTTTTAAACAATTTCAAACGTTCCAAATAATATAAAAATATTTAGAAGTAATATCTTGTATAGTCTGTCCAACGAGAAGATCCTTGACAGTGATAGATGTGTCTGTCATTTTAATTTCAAAGTAGTTTATTTTATTTTACAAAGAAATAAGTTGGTACAACTGGAACGCATAGCAGGATATATTTAAAATTTGATTGACAAGATGACAAGTGATTACTTCAAAATATTGTGAAAAAAACTGTACGAAACTGAAAAAATGTAATGGAGTTATTTTATTTAATAAAAACGGTATGTGTTAATACAAAACAAACAAGAACAAGACACTACATACCAAAAAAATATAAAAAAGAACTATTATTTACTTTCAAGCTTTATGAAACTACCCGCATTTATGATTATATTTATCAATATAACTTATGTACAAATACAAATTTGTAATATTCCACAGGAATAAATAAAACAACATAGGTAAATAAAACAAACTATTTTATTAATAATAACACCTACCAAATTTTATACCTTAAAGGTTGCTTAATTAACTTTAATCTTAATTTTTTTAAACCAGTACCTTTTGACATTATTTTTCTAACTATCAATTTGTAATATTCCACAGTTATAAATAAAACAACATAGGTAAATAAAACAAACTATTTTATTAATAATAACACCTACCAAATTTTATACCTTAAAGGTTGATTAATTAACTTTAATCTTAATTTTTTTAAACCAGTACCTTTTGACATTATTTTTCTGTAGTACTAAAATCCATTATTTACCTATCGTGTGATGTCGATATTTTACAGCTACTCCAGTTTTTAGTATGAGTTTAGTTTGATCCTTCTACCATATACGAGATGCACTTATCTACGACGAAATGGTATACAAACTTTATCGATGGCAACTTCATTGGTGTATAAGACTTTCTGCCTGGGCAGCGAGTATTAAGCTTGTCGCCCACTTGGCCGTCACGTCCCGTCCCGTTCCGGCCCGTCAAAATACGGATAGGATTAAAACCATGCAAATGAATAGACTACCGCACATTAGCCCGTCACGGCACGGAACGGCGAGTCCGTCGACGGAACAGATTCCAGCTCTCCGACTCTCCCCGTCAAACGACGGTCCGTGCCGGGACGGGCCGGTCAACTGTACGCGGAGCCGGCCGGCCGGCGCTGGCCTGCATTAACTTATGGAAGCCTTTCGATCGCATATATGTTTTTGCAATTATTTTGGCAGTTGTTATTGTTAAGTCCGAGAAAGCAGTCCTAAGAAAAAAAATTAGGAAATTAAATCGTTAAATAAATGATGGGACTCTCCGCGTTCAGTCCGCTTTTGATTAATGGGGTGGACCCACATTTTTCTCTTTATCTTCTATTTATTTTCTTCTTCTTCTGCCAAAAATGCGGCCGCTACAATAACTTCTTCATCAGAACTGCTGCTTTCACACATAGTGACTCTGTCACTGCTACATGTAAACTAAAACAAAAAGATCTTCGCAACATACGACCGCGACGTGACGGCTTGCCGGTTTCCTGCGGCAAAGTGGGCGACCAAGCTCTCCGTCGCCTGCAGGCGACGAGCAGCTACGGTCCGTGCTGTGCCGGACAAGTGGGCGACAAGCTTTAACCATAAACTGTGCTCTGGGTCTACAGTTAATTTTCACTCGATTTTTCCTCCATTTGACTTCAAAAGACACAAAACAAACGTAATAATACGAATCAAAATGCATCATCTTCCAAAACGCAGGGTATTTAACAAAAGTTGACACAAAATTATAACCTATAATTTGGCAAGACTTTGACAAGCGTCAAAAATGACAAAAATCTAAAGGCGAGTTCATACGCATCGGCGTCCGTTTGTCGTTCATCGTTCCATCAAACCAATAAAATTGAAATACGATCTGTCATTTTTTAAATAAACCAATAAAACTGGTTAAAAACAACAAGACACGACGCATGACGGATTTATATTTAAACCCATCCATAGATAACTTTAAAATTATTAGAAACTTTTTTTAGTAAAATAAATAGATTGGTATGGGACGTCATCTGCTTTTCTTCTGTCATCGTCTGTCGAAATCTTACCTGAGAAAAAAAACAGAGTATAAATAATTATATATCGAGAAACTATGGTTACGCTCGTTGAATTTGACACTTTATCTCAGTTTAATAAGAGGTTGAAAAATATATTTCCGTACTTTTATGCTTAGGCGTCAAAGTGTTTTACTTTTATGCCTGCAAATGCGTTAAAATGACTTTTTTATATTGTCAATCACGTCGCAAAAACTAATACTTTTGTAACGTTTAAAAAAAAAATTAAGAAAAAAAAAATAAAAAATTCTGTAAAAAAGTGATTGTGTAGGATCTAGGATCTTTTTTAGGATTAGGCATGCTGAAGTAAAAATCGCTTAAATTTTTTTAATAACTCAATTGTTTTTTTCATTTGTTGCGAAGTTTATTATTTCACACCCTGTATATATTCCTGTTAAGTGATTTAAACTTTTAAAATTGGTTTGCATTAAATGCAAATGTTTGTTTTTGATATTTCATACTCAAATAAAATAAATAATATAATAAAATATCACGATACACATACTAAGCCGGTCCTACACGATGTCGCAAACATCTTTCGACATTGGATACACGGACATTTGCCACATTGTGTGGACGTGCAGAGATGAAATCCATGTGTCCAACGTTGGACATGTACCACGTTTGGGCTCTTGGCAGTAAATTTCACCCGCGTCAAAGGAACTTC